GTGCATTTGTATTGAATTATACATACCAAAACTTTAGCATGGTCTGAAAGTCTTTGTTTAGAAAGAGCAACATCTGCTTTACTATCACTGATTACAACTCTATCTCCAGCACCAAGATTAGGAAATTCAATTTTAACATCGCCACATTCATTTTTCAATTTGTGTATACATTCTTTTTGTTTGACAACTAAAGTGCCATGATTCTTTTCATTGATTTCTACATGTTCTTCGATGACCTTACCAATATCGGTTATCATAACTTCAAATTTTGCTTTTGCTATATTAACATTCTCTTTTTTACCAACAATAGTTATACTTTCATTAGTGGAATCAGTTTCAGACGGGAAAATTATTCTTGTATTCGTTAAATGTCTGATCTGGAAACCAAGTATAAAACCATAAATGAACACATTGTACCCTTATATTAAATTATTTTAACAACATACCTTTTTAACATTGACCCCATTTGTTCCAATTAAATGTTTGTGAAACTTCGGATTTACTTTCAAATCAAACACATATTTATGAACTTCATCAACCATTGTCTGAATTTGTGTAATAACATTTTTAACATCATCTTCGGGTCCTTTGATAACTATAGTCTATAAATAAAAGTTTAGCTTTAAAATAACGGTTTACTATTTTTTTAATAGATTTTAGCATTTGGGAAATTTTCTTGAAAATTTACTTATTATATTAGGGGAGGAGAAGCAGTTTCATCTCTTGAGACAATCGTTTCCTGCTCAAAGAGAGAAACTGCCAGAGGCCAGGTTCGAATCGATGTCTAAGCGTATATCACGCATATAATAACTTATAAAATTGATTAAATTGTTATTTTAATTTATAAGTTTAATAAATAAGTGTATTCTTACATTATCTCCTTTAACAGTTGGTAAATTCAATGTCACATTATCCCCACAATCTTCTTTTATAGATTGAATGAATTTATTCCCAAGATTTACAATAGCATTTCTAACTTTAACATTTCCCAACACCATTTCCTTTGTTATTATGTCTCCCTAAAAAATACATGATTGATAAATTAAAAATAAAATTGAAAATAAATAATCTTTATAAAAAGCTAACAATTTCATTTTGTATTTTTTTAATCATATCATAAGCGATTAAAACTTTTCTTTTATTTCCCATGACTTTAATAACATTCTTATTGTCTCCTTCGCGTGGTAAAAAAATTCTCGTATCAGTCTCTTCTCTAATCTAGAATATTAAATTATGTTAATAACAATATTTCTAAAGGTCGAATCACAAAAGTTAATAAATAATTACCTTTTTAATAAATATTGCTCTCTTTCCAGCACTAAGTTTGTGAAATTGTTTAAAAATAGGAATTTCCAACACATAGTTGATTTCATCCAATACTTCGGCCAATTCAGCTAATGATTTAAATGCTTTATTTACATCATCGTTCAAACCTTGTATTTTAACTATATTATTTCTAGCCTCAACTAAAATATCGAACCAAATATTATTTATAAACTCTCAAAATACAAAAAATACAAATATATTAATACTATTAATACTATTAATTACCTGGACTGGGGAATATAATTTTAACATTAAATATTTTCTGAAGTTCTCGAACTTTTTCACCATTGAATCCAATTATCGCTCCGTGGTGACGTTGATCAATTGTTATTTCTTTTTCAATTTTACTTTTCAACTTAATTATAATTTCCTCCAATTCCTAACAAAAATTTTAATTATTAAAAATTACGAAAGAAACTATTTGATGGAAATTTGTTAAAATACCCGATTTCGTTAATACATAATACTTGTAATTTTTTTGAAAAACAAAATAATAAAAAACATCAGAAATCTTTTAAAAACTTTTAAAGTTATAATATTAAAATTAAATGTTCTTTGAATTTGTATAGAGTTATATCAAAATTCAATATTAAAATCCTCATTAATTTATTTTTTACAATAAACGTATAATAAAAATTATCGACATTTTAATTTTGAAATCGTGAAATTTTCAAATATTTATTAAAAGATTTAATTTTAATTTAATTAATAAAATAAATAAACTAGTACGGTCAAAAATAACCACTTTAAAAATAGGCATTATCTATTTTGTTAATTTTTCTCCATCCTATTCATTCCAGCCATTCTTTTCGAAAATTAATTTACTTAAATATGTTAAACATAAATTCTGATTCACTAAAATATATTTTTGATACATACTTGTACTACTTTTTTCGTGGAATCCTTTGTTCCAGTTATATAAATTATGTCAGCCGAATTTTTCATACACGGTATTTGAAGACGTGCTCCTGTACGTTTTTCAATATTCTTAAGATTAAGTCCTTGTTTGCCCAATAACGTACTTCGATGTTCTTTTGGAAACGGTGTAGTAGTAGTTTTAATCTGAAATTTTAATGTTTTAGTTAAAATTGCTAAAAAAATTATTTTTTTTATTTATTTATCCGTAATAAATCTATAAAATAACAAATGATTCATCAAACAATTTAAATTATTATGCACATTTATAAATTATAATATTAAATAATAATAATAATAATAATAATAAATTATTCATAATTTGTACACAACAATATAATATATATAATAAATATTATTTTTATCAGTTTATCTTATTAATTCCAACTTAATTAAAACTTATTTACTTGAGTTTGATCGATTGTGATAATCTTTTGTTTTGCTCGTTCAACATTAACTCTATTGCCGCTGATTTGTAAAGTCAGATCCATGGTTTTTGAAACACAAATCTCTATTCCTACATTATACTCTTTCCCAATTTTCATATATGCTTCCTTACATTTTTCATGCTCTAATTGACTATTCCTGTCCCAATGTCTATCTTGGGCAGGTATAGTAATTATCTAAAAATTTTATAAAATAAAAATTAAGATATTTTTTTATTTATATTTTAGATATAAATCAACAAAAACTTTCTAAACTATTACTATTCATACAGAAAAATGTTATTTAAAATCATAATAATGATGTTCTTTAATATGTAAATTATCGTTCTATAATTTTTATGTTATTTTTTTTATTTAACTTTTGACACAAAGTTATTATAGCTCAACAATTAAACCATGTAAGATAACTAAGTATGCATTTTAACATTAATATACAATAATCATTATCATAAAATAATATTAGTAATATATAATAATTTGAGATAATTATAAAATAAGAGTTAATTTTGATTGACCAATTATAATTTAAAAGTAACGGATAACATATCAACTGGTTAAAGACGTGATCATTTAAATGAATAAAATAGAAAAGAATTGGGCTTAGGAGTAAGGTGATTGCGTAGAAGAGCTGTAATTATAAAAGAAGGGTAAATATAATATTTATTAATGCCAGAAGATCTGAGATAAATTGGAAAACGGTATATCGTCCATAGGACTATTTGGTAATAGGATATTATTAGAACTAGTGATGGAGGCGCAAGAAGCTTTGGAAAAAAAGTTTGATAAGAAGAGACGTGAGTACAATATTTTTATTTTGATGATTACAAGTAGGTTATTTTACGACGTTTAAGAAGTAATTTATGTTTAGAACAACCTTTATAGTTGGAGGTATGATCACCCGCGCAAAAGCCACACTTGGTTAAACTGCCTTTCTTTTTTATGTAACTGATTCAGGAGTGATTTCCCCTGCGTTTAACACAGCGTGAAGGATGAAGGATCACCATCATTTCCGATATGGTGATGTTAATAGTTAGCGTAGAGTGACCATAGCTATGTCAATTTAGACACTGAGGTGAATCACTATAAGTATTATTGGGTAATTCAACTTAAATTTTAGTGTGCAACATTGATGATTCATTAAAAATTGTATTTGGATTAATTGCAACAATGAACAGCGGAAGCATATGGCCATTTTGAATAATATTCGTAATTCTTTTGCGGGAATCTAATTCCCATAGGGCATCTGATATATATAGTATATATATATACTGATGTTTTTATATTGATGGTAAACAATAGATTCTTTGGTTATATTATGTACGTCATAGGAGGTGTCCAGTTTGATTTCTTTGTCCACTTCGCTCGAAAAGACAGCGAAACGATTAGGCGAAACTAATGGTTTAGTGTTTTTCCCCGTATGGATTGGAGAATTATGCTATGACAGCAGCGACCGTTTGGGTTTGGTAGTAAGCGGAGAGGGTATGTTGTCCATCTTGAAAGTGAAGTCGCATAAATACGATATATAATACCGTGAATACTCGTGTAATACCGTAAACTGAACTAACTTAACTTAAATAAACTAATAAATTAACTTAACTAAAATTACGGTAACGGAACGGGCAAATTACAATCGCACTGACATGCGACCGTGTTACAAGTCAATATCAGACTGATCGATCTAATACTTATTAATTACTATTAAAATGGCATGATAAATTACTTCGTTCACCGTTGAAGATTTAAAATTACTCCGTTTTTTAAATTGTGCAGTCCCAATTGTCTCCAGAGTCTTCAAAACTGGCAAAGCTGGAAATGAAAGATTGTAGTTGTTGCCATTACTCATAGCATCTCCTGCACTCGGTTGACCAGACACCATTGATACATTCTTCATCATTGTAATTGATGTTCTAGACAGGTACTTTCTTGAAACAAAATCAGAAAACTAAAAGCAGAATGCGAATGAATAAATAAATTTAATTCGTTCGAATTCGATATCAATGTTCAACCAGTATTATGCTTCAGAAAGTGATGTGATACGTCGTATAAATCATCTAAATGTTCTTCTATAACTATAAACAACTAACAAACTAAATCACCAATAGTTACAAATATGCAAAATATAATTTTATATCGATTAATAACGACTAATAATGCAATTTTTTTAAGTCTGTATTACCAAACGATAATCGATCGAAAAAATAAAAACGTGCTTCAAACTTATAGTATACGATCAGAGCACATCCAACCAAAGTGCTTTAAAAATATTAAACATTTCTGAATAAAATCCATTTTTTTTTTTTATAAATGAGCAAAAATTATTTTCATTATATGATGTTCCGTATTTATTAAAAAGTGTACGTAACAATTTTATTGAGGCTTGTTTTCAAAAAAATAACGGAATCTTTTCATTTAATGACATAAAAAAAAAACTTATAAAATTGACAAATTAAAGTACATAAGTAACCGTAAAAATCGTATCAATGGATAAACGTAATAAAACGTAATATTGACTGTGTTTTATTCAAAATTTAGTATATACCACATTTTGAATTGTTAACAATTTTTAAAAGGAATTAAACTATATTTTAAACTCTAAATAAATTTATTTTGACACCGCCAATCGTTTTTTTTTTTTCATTTATTACACTTAAATAAGCCAACTGAAAGTGTAAATATAAGTCGAGATATAAATTTTCTTAATTTATGAACGTTTTGTTTTTTGACAATACCACTTTTTGGGTTATCGCCCTTCGATTGCCAATTACTGTCGATGAAATGATTCGGCAACGGACAGCAGAATCGATCGCCGGCCGTCCGCGGTCTCGATCCGCGGTGAATCGGTTTTTCTACGCACTGCTGCTCTCTGCCGCACCGTTGTCCGCGCGAACGGAACGTTCGTGATCGGCCGCGTGCTAGGACGGTAGATGGCGCACGCTATACCGCTATACCGTATTTCATCGCCCTTATTATCGGTGGAGACGAATCAACGCCCGGAGTATAATAACACGAACATGTTAAACGTGTTATACATGTTATTATTATGTAAATATAACGATGGAGTGTTGTTCTATCGAGAACACGAATATGTAAACGCAATAAATTAGTTTTTACAATAAAAATCAAATGTTAATATGCGTTATCTTCAGTTTAATTTTAGTTTATTATACATTGTACATAAACCGTCCCAACCAAGACTAAATATAGTTAATTACCGGATACATGTCAGTTATTATTTTTATTATTTAAAAATATAAAATATATCTATATACTTACTATATAAAATGAAGTCGCTTTTTTTTGTTCGGGATAAACTCTGAAACTACTTATTAGATCGTCGTGCAGTTTTTTTTTAAATTAAAGAGGACATCACAGAGAAGGTTTAAGGCGTAAATTTAGTCCGATAAAGTTAATAAATAATTAGTTATTAGTTATCTATATATATATATGGAGTCAAAAATGTATAACATTTCATCAATTGAGAACGGCTGGGCCGATTTAGCTCAAATTTTTTTTTAATTGTTCGTAATTGCCAGGAGAAGGTTTTTACGAAAATTTTTTTTGGAAAAATGCTATTGTTTAATAAATCATAGTTTAATTTAATAATTTTTGACCCGGTCGATAACTGCACAGTAGAAAAAGAATTATTAAATAAAACTATTGAAAAACTATTAAAAACTAAAAAAAAACTATTTAAAAACTATTAATTTTATTTTTGGTAGTAAATGACGGGTATTGCATAAATATTAAACAAAAAGATTCCGCAACAGGTGTCAAAACAAAAAAGAATGTTAGTTCGAAAAATAAATATGCATATCGGTTGATGATTAGACGCGATCAGGACAAAATTATTCTACGATATAATGAGATTCGTCAACAATTCATGGTCGAAATGTATGTAAAGATAGAGAGCGAACGATTTTGATACTTGCGATTCAATCAAAAAAAGCTGCGTGCAGAAGATTCTCAAAACAATTGTTAGATATTAGAGATGGGAAAGTTACTACAGATGAAACGGAATGTATAAAATTACCGACCGATTTCTGCACAATCATTTATTCGCAAGATGCTCCCATTGACTAGATATTTTCCAATGTACACAGACAATATACAAATCATGAGTGGCTGGAAGAAAGGGCAATTTTAGTAATAAAAAAATGTGGATGTCAACGAATTGAATCTCAAGATAAACATTTGTTACCAGGAGACATGGTGTCATACAAATCTATAGATATAGTTTACTATGCTACTGAAGCTGTAAATTATCTAACAGAGTTTTTAAACTCATTGGACTTACTAGGCATGCCACCGTATAATTTACAATTGAAGGTTTGTTCTCCGGTTATTTTGCTTCATAATTTGACCTACCACGGTTGTAAAACAGCACGCGATAAGTCGTTAAAAAATTAATGAAAAATGTTATCGAAGCCATAATTTTAAATGGCAAATTCCGAGGTGAAAATATATTATTACCGCGAATCTCTATTATACCCACAGATGTGCCAATACAATTTAAACGCCTTAAATTTCCAATTAGATTGGCATTCGCAATGACTATCAATAAGTTTCAAAGCCAAACAATGTCTGTAGCTTAGATTTGAGCACATCATATTTTTCACACGGATAATTATACGTGGTGTGCTCTCGAACCATCCAGTTTGTGTTGGCGAAAGATGGGATAACAAAAAATATTGTACACTCTGTTGCGTTAAGGGATATATATTGTTTTTTACTAATATTGTCATAATTAGCGATATATATAATTTTAATAGATCAATTTTAATAAATTATTATAAAAATAAATGTTTGATGTTTTTTCATTTTTATATTTCGTCACCTTTCATAGCACTCCATATCTCTTCCTTACATCCTTATCCTTACCCACATTCTTACATGCCTATATTTAATTAGTTATTTTTTTCTAGCAAAATATTCTCTAGAAATAATTTATATGACAAAACAACGTTTGTCGGGTCAGCTAGTATATTTATATATAGATATTAAATAATTTATTTTTTGGCTCATCAGTGTTTCAAAAACGGTTTTTATATTAGCTTAAGTAGCAACATATTATCCTGAATACGGCCCTGCCTACCACCAAGGAAATAGGCTTGGATTGCCTGCGCCTTCCGCCGGGCCTGCATATAATTTAAGAGCATATCAGTTATTATAAGATCTAATCTGACTCGTATTACGATTTCTATATAACGTAATTTGATTTATTAATATTATAACACAAATATTTATTTATTCTTATTTTACTACATACAATATTTTAAAAATGATCTATAATATAAAATTGCCAGCCCCTGCAAAATGCCGTCCTAAGCGTGCGCCTTCGTCGCCTATCTCTCGAACCGGCTCTGTCAACAATACTCCGGGCACTTGGATTACGGTCAAATTTCAAAAACTGCATTAATTAAAGCCTTTTTGAGGTCAACGGTTACTTGGGAGGAGAACCGCAAGTTCAACCGCAAGTCTTCGTACGTTTTTCTTATCGTACGTAAAACATGGATATTTAATTTCGCGCGTTTATCCGACAATATGCAAAATACTAATGTAACTTAATGCATAACTCTCTCTCACTGGCATCACCGGCTCTTCCCGGTTTAGCACTTTTCCTTTCCCAATGGGTATCCCTAGTTTCGCGATCGGCTGCGTACTTGAATCATAGATGGCGCGCGCTATACCGTATTTCGTCACACCCATTACTGGTGGAAACGTTTAGCTCGATAACGTCGAATTCGTGTAAATAAAACGACGGAGTGTTGTTGTATCGAACGCGATCTATGTAAACCTGATGATCGATTGTTTTGAACGCAACAACCGGGCACCGATAACAGCATTGGTCAGGCGGTTAGCACCGCACCGGCCCCGCGAACCGCATCGTCTTCGTTAACAACGTGACCGCTACCGGTCCAACAGTCGACCGCCCGAAACCACGATGGTACCACGCGTTCGCCCGACTTCCGGTCCGGTCGTAGCCGTCGTTCTGCTGCTGTCGTCCCTGACGGCCGTCACCGCCGCGTCCGCGCGCCCTAACCGGTGCCGGCTCGTTGAATCGCTCAAGGCGGAGATCGCTAGCTACCGGCCCGTGGTCGACTCCGTGCTCTCGTACGTCCGCGACGCGGCCGGCTACAAGGGCAGGACGTGGACCGAGCTGGCCAACTTCACCGACGCGTTCGGCTACCGTCTGGCCGGCACCAAAAACCTCGAGGCGTCCGTCGACTACGTGCTGGAAAAACTCCGAGCCGAACACCTGGAGAACGTGCACACCGAACGGGTACAGTTCACGGGATGGCGGAGGTATTGTACCGATCGTGATTTGTTTGATCTTGCTGTGTAACGTGTGGACGGGTTTCGGAATCGCCTACGGATCGCTGCGACATTCGCGTCGTCGAATCGAACACTTAAGTCCAAAACTCCCGATGCGAACGTATATTTACGTAACGATTGGCATGGTTGAATTGATGTAGAACGTTTATACGCCAATGCTACTACGCAGGGCCGGCTCGAGCTATAGGCGAACTAGGCACCTGAAAAATATTTAAATTCATTCATTCGTGAAAACCACCGATCTATATATTAAAATAATATTGTCCAAAGTTATTGTATTACTTTATATTACGGCCTACGCTGGGCATTTTCAATTATTCTAAAAATATAAATAACCACATAATCACTTTCGCGATTTCCGATAGTCGCGATAGTGACGGGATTTTGAGTAATAATCATAGAAATCATTTTTAACTAATTTTACGTATAATTATATACATAAAATAAAAAATTAATTTTTTTTTTTACGTAGATATGTCACATAAAAAATAGGGAGAGGGACTAAGTTAAAATAATTGCTCAATTTTTTTTTTTTTAGAGGTGGCAAAATTTGACTTTGCCTAGTACACTATTTTTGCTTGGGTCGGCCCTGCTACTACGCCGTGTTTAATATTTAACGATACGGTTGACAATCGAGAGCGGAATCCTTGTTACTCGTTGATTATTTACGTAAATAATTGTTCGTATGTATTACATGTTATCATATTCGTGCCCGATTGTTTGTTTAATGATTTACATGTTGTATTACAACTGACGGCACAAATCCGATTATCGTTTGTTTCAAAAATTAATCATTTTAATCGTAAACAGATAAGGTGCAAGTATGTGGGAAAGGGAAATTTTTGAGAATCTGATTCTCAGAGTCCTAATAGTTTTACGATATGAAAAAATTCAAGCGGTTTCAACAATGATTGTCAAAAACTATAGTAAAACATATGTAATAACAAGAAAATCGTAAACAAAAATTGGTTTGTGCGAGATTAGTTTAAACTTTAAAAGTACCAAAAAAAGTATCATATTTCACTCATCGTTTATTTCACCAAATTTTTAAATTTTGTACTCATTGTAAGATAAAAATATGTTTGCACTCCCAAAAATAGCAAAATATATGTAATACTGTGCACATTATATACATTATTATGTTTTAGTAAAATAACAATCCAAATCTGATTTAATACAAATTTTCAAATATTGTTTTCTATAGATAATTTGGCATGGAATTGATTTGTTTAATATTCAAGTATAGGGGAATGTTTATTCACCCGTAGAGACATTCAAGTGTTCATAAATACACTCTCCTGATGAAACTTTAATTCATAAATAGAGATATACTACTGGGAAAAATTCACTAATTGATTTTTATCATAATCTTATGTTCCGTGTTCTGAAATATAAAAGTTAAACTTTAATATATAGAAACTTCCAAAAAAATAAAGATGTATAGGTATTATTATAAAAAATGTGTTTTGAATATAAATCGAAAAACCAAGAACCCAAAAATGAATACAACATGAGTTGTATATTTGTTTTTATGATATAAAATTATCATAATCATACTTCAATATATATTTTTTGAAATATTATTGTTTACCATTATAACTGCTTATGTTTAATTAATAAATAAAAACTGCTGTATAATTAAAATAAACTTTTTTTCGTAACACGAAAAAAAATACGTAATAAATAATTCATACATAAAATTCTACATAAAAATAAGAAATAAATTATAAGGAATAAAATGTTTCAAATAAAACCATAATATTTTTTTTTCTCTAGTTTTTAATCATATTTTGATTTTATTTTTCAACATTTTGGACATTTATTATTCCTGAAAGTTTCCATCACATGCAATATTTATCAATATCAGTCTCATTATAAGAAGTTATGATAAATATATTATTACACACCTCGTATACCTTTTTGTTATTGTTTATTAAGCTTACAACCTGGGTATATCATGAAGTAGTACTTACTGTGGTGATCAGTGGGCACCATGTTATCTGTATTATTCGCCATTATGGTTTTAGAGGTAAAGAGTCCGCTACTCTGATCAAACCAAGAGTTAAGAATTTGGCTATGTTGGGGCTGGGCAGTAGTGTTGGCACGGATTTGGAAGGTCTCAGGGCTGGAGTGGTCGTGGTCAATTCATTTGAAGATCTCATCAATAAATCGTCACAGGTACTCCATACACACGTTTTAGATTCACCTTTCCACCAAAATTAACCTAACCATTTATTGCCAGTATTATAATATACATTTCCATTTTCCACCATAATTAATTTCAGTTTCTAAATTTTTTTAACCCCTATTAATATACAAATATACAATTATATATAACAACAATATATAAATATGTGAATTAATTGATATTTGGCAATGGTTTTAAAATAACTTAAACATTTAAATTTAAATAAACCATAAAAAAAAAATTGGTTAGGTGTACATAAACAATACATTATTATATTGTAATTGTTATAATATATTTACATATACTTAACATGTAAATTTACATTAAAAATAATAAATCAAAATCAAAACTCGTCAAAAAGAACTCCCCACTATTCGTTCTACATGCTACATACCCACTCGATACCCAATGGTCAATACCCACCCACCTACCCACCCACTGACTTGAGTCCAGGGAATCAAAAATTTGCCGTCAAGCCGCCACTGACATGAATTACAATTAATCATTACAATTCAGTATATCTTTATAGCTAGTACGCCATAGTTTTTATATATACTCGTATGTACGTATATCGGTATATTTCTCCTCTATTAAATTAATTATTATAAAATTATAAATTATTATAACTTTGAATGAAACCGACACCCTGTAATAATACTTTAAATATTTGATGTATTACTATTTTGTGCAATTTCAGTAAGAATTATTTTTTTTTTTGTCTTATAGTTGCATTATCAGTGGTGTTTTTTTTACATGTCGTATTTACTACTTGCTTCTCCAGCATGGCTTGAATATTCATCATGATTATGTTATAGTGAATTATTGTCTTCATTAATTGTATAGTTTTAATGTTTATAGTCATTTGCAGGACAAATTTTAGTAGTACACAGCCAACGTATAAATCTTTTATTATACGAAACAATTCGAAATTTAAAATTATTTAAATTTAACAATTTTTACCACTGTTGCTTTCAATAATTTTATTTTCCGTTGTAACGAATATACTTATTTCTCATGAACGTCAGCGCAGACTAAAATTTGTTCCTCAACTAGACAGACAATAAAATCGTGACAATACTTTATCTGAATTGTTAATTGTCGCATGTACGTAACTTTTCGTAACCTTTACGAAAACGCATTAACAAAAATGGTCTACAATAAAATTTTTCAGTTCTTACGGTAAGGAGTTACTAAAATCTAAAAACTGAATTTTGTTGTGGCGTAAAATGGAAATATATAATTTTATACTGGTGGTAAACGTGAAGGTCGATTTCGGTGGAAAACAGTGACGGCTGGCAGTGCTTTTTATGTTTCTCTCTCTATCTCTCTCCCTTTTATGTATCTGTTCCTTTGCGTTCCAACCACGGTATAATTTGATAATTAATTTTCATCTTGTCTACTCCCACCTCTCATTTATGCATTTCTCCCTTTGTGCTCCAACCACGTTCTAATTTGATAATTAATTATCATCATGTCTACCCCACGAACACACGTAGGTCAGTGGAAAAATAGTCGTATACAACCAGCCGTACGTGTCGTACTCGAAAACAGTCGTCTACCGATCCTCAGGAGCCAGCGAGGCATCCAAGTACGGCGCCGTGGCCGCGTTGATCCGGTCCATCACTCCGTTCTCGTTGAACACGCCACACACCGGTCACCAAACATATGCCGATGGCGTGAAGAAGATACCCACGGCTTGCATCACCGTCGAGGATGCTGAGCTGCTGAACAGGATGTACAACCGAGGTCGGTATACATGGTCCGAAACGATACACTATATGAATCACTGATCGCAGAAAAGGGACATGTCCACAAAACATTTTCTTTTTACAGGAGACACATAAATCTAAGCAAAGCTTAGGAAAGAGGAAGGTTTAAAAATGAGTATATTACCTAAATACTCGCTTCTCTTAATGTTTTAATGGATCACTTTCGTTTTTATACAAAATATGTATTCAAGGCAGATGAATAAAAATCTGTAAAAAACTAAATTTCGTTAAAAAGTGGACATTTTCCCTTTCTGCAATTAGTGATACACTACGTAACATGCTATCCTGATTTCTAAACAACTGCAACTATACCCTAAATCTTTCTGACAATGATATCATCACGGTGTTCGTTCTCGTACGACCCATTGCGGTTTTATGAAATTATACCGTTACACTTGTTACAGGCAATGAGTTAGAAATCATTTTAAAAATGAATCCGAAGTTCTTTCCAAATGTGACGTCTAGAAACACGATTGCTGAAATCAAAGGCAAAACTGATCCCGACCGTGTAGTGATGGTATCGGGTCATCTGGATAGTTGGGATGTGGGCCAAGGTGCAATGGATGATGGTGGTGGTGCGTTTATCAGCTGGAACAGTCTGGTCGTATTGAAAAACCTCGGGCTCCGTCCCAAAAGAACTATAAGGTAATACGTGAATTAAACTATTACATCGGTGTAGCAATAGTTGATCATTTATGATCTTTTTATTTTATGATCATTCATGATAATTCTATGCACACGTCATAATATAAGTTCATATGAATCATCATCCGTTAAATCACGACTGTTTCGTTGTTCTTTAGTTTCACATCGACGAAAAAAAAAATATATATAATCCAATCGGTTGTTGTTTTTTTTTTTGTCCATTTCTCGTATTCCGTAATAATGTAAGTACCGTAAAAACTATGATAATTCGTTATTAATGACGACCGCTTTAAATTCGATTAGTACGTTTAAAATGAATCGATAATGCGTTATCACACGATTATTATTAATACTTAATCATATCTCGTAATTAAAATTGTTAAATAGAAAAACAATATATATTACAGCGATAATGACTAGCATGCGTTTATCCAAACATGCAGTATTGGCCACATTAACCGAACGGTTTTTTTTAAATAATTATATCTCGTAGGCAATGTAAATGCATCACGGTACGACGATGCCATTAATCATTATAATATACTGTTTCATAAATAAAAAGTAATTTTTACGACGAAGAAACTTTATTAATTTGTTAAACATGTTTAATCGCTCTGGATCCGACGATTACGCCACATGATTGAAACGAGATAACAATTTTTAAATTATTATATCAGTAAATTACAGATTGAACACAGATGACGCAATACATTGAAATATTTTACACCGCTATAATAAAGTATCACATCAACGTAATATTATAAATATATATAATTTTAATTATTACGACCAAGAACACCACAGATGAAAATTCAAGGGGGGGGCAGCATTAATTTTTATTAATAATCGAACACTTTTATACTAATTAAACACTTTTATTAACTAATTGAATACAAATTGCAATTTTATTTTATTTTTCCAAAATTCATCAACAACTTTTTCAGCTAAATGAAATTCTTCAATTTTTTTTTTTTTTTGTGTGAACTTAACATACATAATCCGGATAAACGATTCTAATACATTGTTGAACGTAATCAACTATAAATATTAATACACTATGGTACCAATTATGATTTTTGAGATTTTGGGATATTTAATTTGGATATAATTATTTTAAATAGCTGGAGAGCTAGGGGAGGGAGTTGTCTCCTCCTGCCCCTCCTTGCGAGCGCCTTTGATTACGACCGGGAATAGATTGGTACCTAAAAATTCGGTCACCATGATGGTAAAATTTTTATATTTATTCGGTTTAGGTTCATAGATTATGTTTTGTAGTCAAATTAATGGGATTTCAATGCACTTATAGAAATTGTACATTCGTCAAATAATCCTAGTTACATTAATTAAATAAAATACAAATCAATTTCCGAACGTTAATAGAAAATGCACCCGACGAATATGCAACGCACATGTTATTAAATATTCATTATAATTATATTTATTCTTTTCGTTTTGTTTATAGATGTTTACTGTGGACCGCCGAAGAAGAAGGACTAATAGGGGCGTTCGCATACTTAAATAACCATAAATCAGAACTCGAAAAGTTTAATTTGGTTATTGAATCAGACGAAGGGACATTTCAGCCATACGGAATACAATTTCATGGTTCTGAAACAGCAGCTTGCATTATAACGGAAGTAGCCAAGTGAGTACCGTATTTCATTTTTTTTTTATTTCATGTTCAACATCATAATGATTACCACAACGTTTATATAGTACAATATTTTATTCTTGAACGATGTTAAACTATACCGTTAACGACGACTTAATACGATCACGTTTTATGTAGTCAACAAATCTGAAAAAGTATTTTAAATAAGCGTTATCCTTTTAGCTCTTATTTTTAACGGTATAAAAATAAAAACTCGAAAAAATATACATATTTTGGTAATTTTTTTGATGAAACATTTATAAACTGTTCGAATATGTTTTTTAAACCGAAAAGACAATTTGAACATCCGTCGTTCATTATTTTTTATTCAACTATTAAATGATTCCAGATTATTCGATTCCATCAACGCGACCACTACGTCGTTTAGTAAAACAAATGTCGGTTCGGACATTGAAGTATTTCAAAATTTAAATGTACCCGGTGCGGCTTTGTTGAACAGGAATGAAAAATATTTTTGGTACCATCATACCGAAGCCGACACGATGACTGTTGAGGATCCGGATTCATTAGATTTAAATACTGCTATGTTCGCGATTGTATCATATATCATTGCCGATTTATCTGTTGAACTTCCTAGAGCTTAATAAACCAAATAAAATATTTTTAGTGATTTAGTTATTATATTATTACAAATATTGAAAATCAATAATGTTGGACTAGAAATTTAGAATAAATACTGGCCATCAATGTAATGATTACTTTAGAGTGTGCTAAACTGTTTATTTTATGTTTTTCAAAAAAATTGTTATTGCATTTAAAACACATTTTTTAATTTATATTCTATTGGATTATTTTTTTTTTTTATTTTTTTTTTTAGTTTAATATACATATATTATTAAAGTAAATGTTTTCTAAGAGAAAAAACTATTGTTAAACAAGAGTCTATTTAATTGTATACCCCTAAATTATATAATAATTCAAACTAAAAGCAAAAAAACATTTAATAATCATTATAGATTTTAAAGGTAAATTAAATTACAGGTCTCTAAACGAATAAAAACAATTTATCATTTCTATTTTGAGGTAGAAATCTTTATCCATTATTTAAAAATCTAATAGTTTTCAAATCTAAAAGTCATAACAATGTAATATTAGCATAATAGTAACTAAATATTTATTGCACATATAAACGCACCGAACTCGTACGTATCAAGTATGATAGATAATAAATAATGTAACGTATACACAATGAATGTCATGTTATAAAATATTGAAAAAGTTTAAATTCTCTCGGCAAGTAACTCGTTGAATAACTGCACACGTTTAAACAATATGTTTTCATACTCGCAACAAAATTATTTTCTCGTTGTTTTTTCCCATATAATCGCACACGATGCTTGGTTATTTTTGTATGTTTCAACAAATTTTTTCCCACTTTCTGTCAGTGTACAAACAATTTACTTTTTTTTTCATTTATCTCAGTCTTCAACTTTGTTGCACAGGAATAACGTGTTCATGGAATATTTTCACACCGTACTCGTGTCTTACAAAAACGAAGACAAGAAATGCACGCCCAAACATATTTTCTAAATTGCATTATTTCGTGCGCCCATTCCGTTTAACTCGTATAATACCGATGATACTGTAATAACGAAATATTAATATCGCGACGCGAACCGGTACTGCTGCAGCATAACGCAAGCGCACCGTGAGGTGTTTCGGCAGTCCCTTATTTTTCAGAAAATTACTAAGCAATGTAACTTTTTAAGCATCCCTTTTTTGTACACTTCTTAAATTCCGAAATATGAAAAACGTGTGTTAGTAAAATAGAACTGTTTTTTCCAGTACATAGATTTCTGACACCTTATAATGTTCTGTGGCAATATCAACTTATGTTATTTATAATTTATGCAAATAATTATTCAGCTAATTTTTCTGCAGAGTTTCACCTATAATAGTCAAAATTTGGAATTATTTGTTTGAACATTTATCATTTTACTTAATGGCTTTTCACTATTTTGGGATACCATTTCGGGAAAACGCGGAAATATTTGTGTTGCTCATCAAGGTACACTTAATAGTATATTTTATCTTTTATCTTAATAGTATCATTTAGGTTGTTTAGCATTAAAAAAATAAATGTTATTTATTTTCCTTTTATATAATAATTACTATAAATAGCAACTGATTATTTCGTGTTTTCCGTACTCAACTTTAAATTATAATAATTTCGAAAGATATTTTCCTGGTATTGACTAGTACATTAAAAGTTCTTGACAATATAACCGAATATTATTTGCATTGAAATGAGAAACCAGTTTAAAAAAAAAAAATTGATCTTACTATCATATACGAAAATATGTGCATAAATAAAATACTAATACTAATAGAAAAATAATTGTAATTGAACTCTAAAGGCTAGTTCAGACTATGCCAGTAATTTAGTCAAGTAGCGAGTAATTTAGCTACTAAACGTTTATGAACAGACTGATTTAGTCGAGTAGTTTAGTAAATTTATTTAGTAATTTAGTAATTAGTGGATCCATTTACTTCTATTTTTTCTGGTCGAGTAGCATCCCCCACTTTTCTGACTAATTACTAATAGGCGGTCTGAACGCATTATCTTAGTTTAGTGTATTAGTTATCCTTGACAGTGTCAAGATGACGTTTCGTTGGAATGAAGACACAACATTTAAATTTGTTTCGGAATATATAAAACACGAGTCTTTATGGAACATAAAATGTCTGCTGTATAAAAATAAACAGGCCAAGCTATCTGAAATCTATTCTGAAATAGTTGATTTTCCAAGTCGAAAGAGATGTGTTAACGTCCTTAAACTGCATCCCGTAGCAAGAAATTATAGAACCGTTTGTAATTTTGTTTTTGCAGGAATCGTCATTCTTAAGTGAGTGTCACTACGTTGAATTTGTGGTTGCACTTTTTTCAACAAAAAATTAAAACAGCTTTCAGATATTCTTAGCGTTACGAAGTATTCTTTGGGGTCTTCAAATTCTAGTTCTCTAAGAAGACCATTTGTAGCTCCCAATGTGTCTCTTTTCTTGATCCATTCCCTAATCCACATTCGCTTTGAATTTTTATTAAGCTCTTCTTCTACCTCTTCTAAAATAGCCGTTGAAATAAGTCCTATTGCTTTATTAAAATTTTCTTTTGTAAACTATTCATTTTGGCAATCACTTTTCACAGCACCAAAACGAATACTAATGTACTAAAACAGTTTTAAACCCTATTGTGTCTGAACACTTTTCAGTTACTAAACCGTTTAGTAGTTAGTAAATCACTTACCACTTGACTAAATTACTCGCATAGTTTCGATAACACGCGAATGTAAATAATAAAATATCTTACAAGATTTAGAATTAGTTTTTCGCCATTCAAATACATATTAAATATTGTAAAAAGTCCAAAAATAAAACACGGTTTATCACCATCCGGTAAACCTTTAGAGAATAGTATTTTATTTAAATTTTTATCCGGGAGTTATTATACTTTACGAGTATACATTATACAAATTGTTCCGATGAGGGAGGATAACACAAAAGATTTTATTTAACATAACATAACATGTTCATCTAAAACAATATCAATGATGAAGTGTTTGTTTTACGGGTACGTTCTAAATAAAACGATAAAAGAAAATAGTGTAACCCACAACTGAAACAAAAATGTGTAACGAATTTGGTTGTAAAAGAGAAATATATGTATGTATATATATATATATAAATACATAAAATATACATTAGACACATAGCACAGTATTTTAATTGGTTTTAGTGCGGAGGAAAATTTGTTTGTCTGAATATGTTTAAGACTTTAAATAGCTTAAGTTACTGTGGTTCATTGTTTTCAATTATATTTAAGTTTGAACTGTTCCTTGAAAAAAAAAAAAAACTATCAGCTTATTCCGTAACAATTTGTTCACGTGGACGCGTTAAGTGTATTAAGTCGTAAATATAATATTATGTAATGTACTATTATTATACATAACTTAATTTTTAACAACAATTTTTTTTTAACGGATAATTATGCATGGAATTTTTCGTTAAAGATGAAATTTAATTTAATCAACGAAAAAAGTGTTTATGGTGGATTGAGTGTTTTTGAAGAAATAAAAAATATAATTACCTTTTTTTTACACAACACAATGTAAATTTTAATGAATTTAAAACGTAGAGGTTAGGATAATACACTGCAAATATGATGGTTCAATAAAAAACTGCTTAGTTAATCAACAATGCTCATCGTCCTTGCCGAAATGCATGAAACATTTTCACGCATTTCTCCCGCTCGGCAAAATACTGCATAGAATTAAAAACATACTCCATTAAAATCAATAATTTCGTATTGTGTACAATGAAATATTATGAAGGTTAGTTAGATTTAGAGCCGTATTTAGGGAGGAGCTACAGAGTGCTGTTGCCCCGGGCGGCTGAATATGAGAGGGCGGCTAATTTTTTATATTTTCAATATTTAATGATCTAATATTTTTGAAGTGAAACTTCTTTACAAAATAAAAATTATATCTCAAAAAAAATATATATATATATAGCCAGTCATGGCGTCACGACACACACATACATACTCGGTAATGGTCGAGTATTGTCGATAGATCCAAAGATTTACAAAAAATCTATTCTTATGTTGACATTGGACTTTGGATGTTTTTGTATACATTAGTAACGAATTGTTCTTCAGAAAGATCTTTTTCAACCGCAGAAATTTGTATTTGGTATAATGAAGAGTTTTTTATTGTTCCTCCCTTGTATCAAATTCCTAAATACGGCCCTGGTTATATAAATTTACGGCTAATTTACGTTTTTACTAAAATTAATTGACTGTAATTATTGATTATTAAGGTAAACCTTCTCTTAAAGGACACGCTATTGTAACCACAATTTTGATTCGAGTGCACGTTAAAATAACCTTTTCAAAACGAGACCGCCAATTAACCGGAAACATCATTATCGTTTCGATAAGAACAAAAAAGGCTTTTCATGACGGAAATCAATAGTAAATAACAACATAGGTGTACTGTTCTAAATAATCAAAAAAAAAACAACTATCAGTTATCGTGTTTCTGAATCACTTATGCAAACGTATCTGCAATCATGATGTGGATCCAACAGCATAGCTGGAGTTCAATTGAAGGTGGAGTGATTTAAAAATTGTAACACATCACAAAATATTGCGTGAAATTCTCTATTCGCGAAAAAAGTCAACAGTTAAACTAATTTTCTTATACAATTATTTTCTTCTCTTTCGAAACTTTTACAATTCTTTGAATTCTTCTTATAAATATATAAAATACATGTATTGTATAAAAAACTTTTTAAAATATGTAAAAAAAAAAAAACATTTACAAGAATTTTCAAAAAAATATAGATTTTTTTTTTTGTCTGCAAATTGATCTATGATTAATTGGACGTTCATTTCTATATTTTTATGTATATAATAAGACCAGACCAGTTAATCGTTCCACGAATATCTTTGATCGTAACTAATAAAATTTTTAATCTAAAAAAATAAAGTAACATATAACTGTGTAAAAGCATAAGCCAGTGAAAACAATTTTTAATATATTTTATAGATAAATATATTTAACGAATATACACATAAGAAATAAAGATAACTAAAAAACAAGTCTAATATGTAGTCTTAACTGAAGTTTCAAAAGCAGTAGATTATAGTATAATTATTTTATTTTAATTTTTATTTTTAATTCCAGTATGTATAATATCGGTATGTTATAAAACAAATAAATATTTTTCACACCAATAATAAATGTATAGTATAGTCTATATGGGATTAATTTGTGTCTCGAAAGTATGAGCTACACATGACTCAGTAAAAAGGTTATAGATTATTATAAGATTTAATACAGCGTTAAGCTCATAAAAAGAAGTATTATTTACAGACATAAAATTAATGACAATACAGAAGTGTGAATGAGATGCACATTTTACGAGATAAAAGAGAATGAAACGAGTTATGATAGTCGTCAGTCAAGTTTGTCCAGGAACGGTATACTTACTATCAACAAAGATAATATGTAAAAATCAAAGCAGACGATAAAATTATAAGTTAATTAAAAGTAAACAATGGTGTTGGCTAATTAAGCTATAATAATAATAGAAACATATTTTAACAATGTAAACATTGTCTTTAAAAATAAAACACTGATATGATTTTGTTGACAATGACAGCTTAAGTTATGTATCTATGGTGACAGTGTCGTATTGCTGAATGGAAGTTGGTTTGAGTCGATCGATGGAAATTCATGAAGTGGTCTATCCCGTTGAATCCTTTGATCTCATAATGTATACAGTATATAGATCAGAGCAGTGTCAAATGGACGGAAAATCAGTCGCTTTTCATAACTAAAAATGAAACATATGCAATGTAATATAATATCTATAAAATTTTTCTATAACGGAAAATATTCACAATGTACTCTATTACAAATCACACATGTTTTCAACAAATATATAGCATTTATTATAACATTTATTACATTTACAATTATTTCATTAGCGATCATTGTGCTAAATTTAAGTTCATATTGATTGAAAGTGGTTTTTCAGAGGAGTGTTTCTTTTGACTTTTTGAATATTATTTCCATCCGTCGGGTTTGTTGAAAGTCTGTTTTCATCATGCAATTTTTACAATAACACAACGACACAAAGGAGTGATACAATTATATTGGATATGAAAACCATTGATTGATCGACCAAGATTTTTAAGTATTGAATTGTATTGGAGAAGATATTTGGAATAATTGCAATTGGGATCGTTTTTCATATAGACTGAAAGTTTCTTAATTTAAATGTACAACTATGTGGTAGTAGTTTGATTGACTGTGTACATTTTTCTATCGGATTTGCGAAAATTATTTTCTTCACAAATTAATTTTTGGTGGATTGTTTCTTTTACTTATCTGAAGATTATTTCGATCTTTTAACTTTGTTGAAAGTCTAATGTCTTCAAAAACTTTTTACAATAAAATCATTATTTTTTAATGTTAAATTACGAAACATATTTGAAATTAAACATTATCAATAAGATTTGAAATTTAAAATACATTTATACATTGAAAACTAAATTTATATTTAATAGCTAAATTTTAATTCTGTTGCCCGAAATGCCCTTATGTATATAAAATTCATTTTATAAAGTGATTGCAGTCGACATTATTAAGTAGGGTTGGGCTGTTATGAAAATCGATATTTATTATCGGACAATAATGGCAATATCAGTATCGATTTTTTTTTTAAATCCGATATTTCAACCTGTATCAAAAAAAACAGTTGTCGATTCATACTTTTGGATAAAAATTCAAAGATATATATATATATGTATGTTATCGGTTTTAAATTTGCATGAAATATCAGTATATTGGTTAAGTGTGATATCGCTCCATCCCTACTATTAAGGTAGGAACTTTATTTTAAAATTGCAGTGTCTAAAATAGCTGTTGTTGAATAGAAACTTGAAAAAAGAAAGATAAGAGGTAATGCATTTGATATGCTATTTTATAATTCAGTAAATATTTTTTTTATTGATCTAAATTACAATTTCGTCTACTGTGGCAATTAGTTATAATTTTTTAAAGTACATAATTTTGTCTAGGTATGTATTACATTAATTATCAGAAAATGTTTTCATACAAATATTCTGTAATTTATTCCATAGTATGTAATATAGGTACTATGATTATCTTGTATTATAAATATAACAGCAAAACTACGCAATCAAATGTTAATTATTAAAAAACAATAGATACTACAGTTTACACACAGTCTTACAGATAATAATAATATTACGGTTTTGAATTGAATTCCTAATGAACACCATTTATTATATTCTTACGCAATCTATAAGAGTACATTTAAATATAAATGCAATAGTAGTTAATACTTAGTATAAATGTATAAATATAAGTATTTATACTTACTAATAATATTAGTTAATACTATTAGTATAAGTAATTTTACGTATAATCTTTTTTCAATTTTAAATAATTTATAACTATTTTGTTATGCTATTGATTACATATCTTACAGCGAATTGTATAATATCGACTGAAGTATTACACTTTATTTTATATCAAAGTATTACACAACGTTTACAACATAATTACATAATTATTAAAGACGAGGCTGTGATAAAATATAAATAATTAATTTGATAACTAAAGTTCTACTTGACAGGGAACCGGCTGATTGTTGGCTACTGCTAAAATATTATCAGCAGCTAATTGTGCTTTTTCAACGGAGGCTTCGACGGTGTTTCTTCCAGCAATGTGTGGTAAAAGAACTAGGAACAAATTATAAGACTATTAAAAACGTGGTTAACGAAAGTCTTAAGTAGATAATGATATAATGAATAAGTTTTAGGCGACGACATTTATTAATCGAGTTATTTAAATCTTTAATCCGTAGTTACAATAATTAATAAAATTTCAATGTGTCATACCGACGTTTTCCATTTCCATCAAAGGATTATCAAGTGGAAGTGGTTCCGGTGTCATTACATCTAATCCAGCTCCACGAATATATTTATTTCGTAAGGCATCGATCAAGGCATCTTGGTCAATTAATTCTATAAAACAACATCAAACAGTATATTTTCCATTATAATTAAGAATTTAAGTTTACGTTTTACACCATGGACAAGGTCGCTCAATTTTATTAATGTAAAAACTTTGTATGTTCATAACTTTGACGTTTCATTTCAAAACGAATATGAAATTAGAATATCTACTCTACGTGGACATTAATTATTTAGTAAAGCCATTTATAGTTCTTAAGACATAGTTTGTGACAAATACAATTATAATAACTAATAATCTTAAATGTCCATGAATTTTGGAATACAAAATATTATTCTGAATAACATACTTGAAAAAAGGTCAACAAAGTTTTCATTTGACTAAACTAATGATTTTTATTTTCTATATATTTCCATAAGAAGAATTTATTTGTGATTTTTTGCATACAAACATAATATGATAATAAATAATATACTATTAAGTGTTCATCTGATTTCAATTGAAAAAATCCATAAAATCGTTTATTATTATTATTTTTCTTCTTATGAATGTAGACTTTTATTTAAAATTACTTAATTATCATTATTATTATTATTTTTTTTTTTTTTTTAATGTTGAAATTTGTTTATTAATGCTAAAATGTTATGTTTTATATAATATTATTATTATCATAGAGATTAATCGACAGTGTTCTTCTTAACTATATAATAAACAATTTATATAAGTATAAACGAATAAGAGTGTGATTTTCATAAAAATATACTAACGGCCACGACCCACATTGATTATCACAGCATTTGATTTCATGAGCGCTAACCGATCCTTATTGATGATGAACTTGGTTTCAGGAACCAATACTGAAGTCAGAATAATGAAATCACTTAGTCGTACTAAATCGTCGACAAGTACATATTTGCCACCCAAACATTCCACTGTTGGCACATAAAACAAAATAACTATTCAGAACCAACTTCCATTCAAAATATTGCGTTGTCCCCGTTCTTACCAGCGGGTTTTGGTTTACGGCTAGTGTAGAGGAGTTCACTTAATTTGAACCCTCTCAGCATTCCCGCTACCGAAATACCAATGTTTCCACAACCTATTATGCCGACCACAGAATTCGCCAAGCCCTGGCCGATACGACTTGATATCGGATAATTACCCCTGGAAACAATTGCATCATAGACTAATTAAATAAAATCAATTAAGATTCAAATAACGTGTCAGAAATATATTTCAGTAAAAAACACATATGAATTTCTATGCCATAGGACCTATGGTATAATACATAGTTGCTAAAAGTACTGTAACAATTCTTAATGTATTTTTTTTCTGCACTTTAAAAAAATAACAATGTCTTTCTTTCATGAAATTTTAACTGTATAAATGAATTTAGCATACTACGTTCGATGTTTCACGTATATTCGATGCTAAGGATGATCAATTTTTATTTCACAGATCACATTTATAATATATATATATTTTATACAACCCACAAGTAGTATATATTTATAAAATAATAAATTTAAAATGTAAAAACACACTTTACTATGTACTTTTGAAAAGCGTTTCTCTCTAAATTTGACAGAAACAAAAATAACCATCCGAAACGCAAAATGAGTACTTTTAAACATATTAATATTTAATTTATTTATTTCAGTCATATAATATATAATAACAAAAATGGGTGATACCCCTATTCAGGTGAAATATAGGAATAGATGAATGGTATTGCTATATTAGTTTTTTAAACTTAAAAACTAATGTTTTCAAAAAAATCGACACTGAGTGAAAGAAGTCCTACGGTGAATTAATTAATTTTTCTAAAGGTGGTTGATATAGTAAGATAACTATAACTATAACTACATTTCATAGTTAAATAAGTCGAATTTAATATGTGTTAACTTATACAGTCAAAAAATAATGAGCATAGCCACCGTGAATATAATGAAATTATAAATATTTTAAACTTACGATTTCATCTGTTGGTTCGTAGTCATTAAATTTCTTGCTGTAGCAATTAGAAGGCCAATTGTAAGTTCTGCAACTCTGTCTGCCGTAACAAGTGTCGAGTTGCCGAGTACGATTCCGCGTTTTTTCAAAGCACTCGTGTCCACGGACTCGTAACCCATAGATGTTGTACTGACAACTCTAAGACTAGGGCCTGTAATGTTGTATATTTAGCATTATGTCTGATAAAGATGCGTTAAGTAAACTCGTGATCGGGAAGTTCAAATTTAAATACAAACAGAGAATAAATAAGTGCCATTGAAAAAGCAATGTTTTCTACTATTCGTTATTTGTTTACTGTTGTTTACTTCATAAAGTAAATGTAACACAATATTTCGGTCATATTGAACGATTTTTACAGTCATTAGATTTTTTTACAATGATTTGGTACTATAATTGGACAGTATTTTCTATGGCATTTTTAAAAATAATTAGTTGTGTAATACACTCTATATCTTAGACTAAACTAATATGATTTCAACATGATTATATTAAAAAAAAAATTTAAAAATGTTATTGAAGTAACATAATATAATGTTGTAATATTTTCATAAAACTTCGTAAAAATTAATGAATATTATATTTAGAAAAATCTTATTTTAGTTAGTTTATTGGATGCATATAAATATACATTAAAAAAATTAAATTTTATAATAATATTTTAAATATTATATCTTATAGTAATTGTAGTATTAATCAATATCTATAACAATAAATCTAGATCACAGGAAGCATAAGACACATTAAAAAAACTGTATATTCATGTCGCAATAGGAAATGGGTTAATATAAAATTTTAGAATACAAGAAAACAATTGTACAATAATCATATTACTAATACTGTCCATTGGTATGTAAGCAATAAACATGTTTAATTAGGTTAGGCAAATTGATAAAAACAGAAGACGCGTGAATAAAGGGTCCATCTTTTGTGGTAGTCGTGTGACTCGACCACAACAGGAAACATAATGTTATTTCAAGTCTGATCTCAATTTAAATTGTGTTTTTGTGTCTATACGTAAGATTTGATTAGCATTTACGAAATAGTGTAATAATGTTGTATAAAAAATATTAGATACTATGATAATATGAATCGATACAATTTTCACAGCAAATGTGTACATAACTTATTTGGTTTTAGAAAAATAATTAATGTGAGTAAAAAGGTAAAATATTTAATAATTTCTGAAAAACAAATACAAATGTAGATAATATAATTATTTAATAGAATTATCTAATGGCATTAATTCAAACATTTTCAAAAAACTATTAGAAATTAATATATGATTTTAAATAAATACAAATTACTTTTTAGGAAGATATTCTTTAATTAAAATGTTTAATCTAAATAGAGTACTTGCCTGCGGCGGCGACCACATCTTCATCCACAACAGTCGAATAAGAAAAAAGTAATCCAAACTTGCCAGGTATGTTATCCAATAAATCTTGCTTAGTCGATTCGATCATCAGTTTGTTGATTATCTGTACATCGAACCTTGAAATAGTTAATGGTATAACTTAGATTACAAGCCATTACTTTGTAGAAATACACGGTTCTTAATTAAATATTCAATTTCATTACTTTTCCGACAACTTGTCAATGACTTCTCGAGGGAATTCGCGATGGGACACCAATAACTTAAGTTTTGACATTGCTTGTTCTACAATCTAAACAACATATACAAGTCAATATTATATTTTTGCACACGTTATCTAATAATAAAAAATCCTATAACTAGTAATGATATGCATATATTAAATTGCTTAAATATCACAACAACCACGGTAAGTGTTAAATAACGATCTGTGTAATACTTTCTACAATTTATCATTCACAAAAACGTTATAGAAATTTGGTTGAATGATAAGTGTTTGTACAGATATTTAATTAATTATAGACAACTATTCTCAGAATGAAGGGAGGTATGAAAATGTATTAAAAAGCAAACCGTAAGAGTTAATCCACACACCCCTTTTTTTATATAAAAAAACAAACAATAAATCACAACTTATTATATGTAATGCGTGGAAAAAAATAATAAGTCAAAAAAATATTTATTGATTATAATCATCGATTTGATTATTACCAGAGATCAAAGAACTTGTAGCTCTAAAAAAATGTTATTATAAGCGTGATAATAAGATTTTCTATAATATGAACATTCTTGTCGTTAAAAAAAACGCCAAGATATAAAAAAAGAAATAAAAAATAGCATTCAAATATTGAAATATGCAAAAATATGTAACAAACAATTAGTATTTATCTTCTAAGTTTTCTGAAACCAATATATAGATTACAAAAATATTATCTTTAAAAAAATACATGATAATACTAGAAGTTATGAGCCTTGATTATTACTAAATATTAGTTGAACATGATCATAAAGTTCATTAAAAAATCGTCAATAATTTCAGATAATTGTATATGTTATAGATAATAGAAAATATCTTATTAAATCTTACTAAACTATACGATGAAAAACAGTAGAATTAAAAAATTATCACAATATTGTACAATACAAATAATTGTTATAGAGTACCAACATTTTATTTATATTTTTTGTAGGATGGTTTGGATTAAGATGGAGATTATAAACATTTGATAAATGTTTAACGGTAACTTGTTTTGTCTAATATTATACTCAACAATAATGAAAAGACTTAATAAATTAAATATTTCAATTTCATATTTTAATATTAAATGTATCTGTCAAGAACTTATGATTACACGGTAAGTTTGTAAAGATGTAAACTATTTGGCTGTATAGCACACCATTTATCACTGTACCGGTTAGTACTTGGTTTTATGAATGCCAATGGATTTTTATTTACGATAAATTATGTTTTATTACGAATTGTATGACCACTTATTGATCGCCATGTAAACGAACTGTTGAGTAAATTAACGATGGGTAATTTTATCTACCTAAAAAAAAATAAAATCCTTTTCAAATTCCACTAAATAAAATAACAAACTAGAAACCTTTAAAAATTTGTTATTGACTGATCTACGACCTCGCATTAAGCAAACACAATCTTTGACCATATATATTTATTAGGGCGGCCCTTAGTTATAGATAAAGAAAAAAAAATAAAGATTTTTTATTTATCGTCCCCTCATTGTGTTCATTGATATGAAAAAAAAAAATTTTAGTTAAATTTGATCATGATTAATAACCCCTTTCACGTGCCACCAGGGGGTTGAAAAATTGAGAAATAGGAAGGATTTGTCGTTTTTTGAGTGTAATCAATAAACTATTGTGAAACTTAATAAAAACTTAAATAAACTTATCGTAAAAATGTACATAAATTAAATTATAAATATTAATATTTAAAAAAAAAATTTAAATATAAAATTTTCCATACATCATTATTTTATATGAAAAATTATAAAATATCGAATATTTCATTTATTTAAAAAAAATTAGACAGTATTTGAATCTATACTTTAGGTTCTATACAATTTTATGCTCAATATAATATATTTTAAATTAAATATAAAAAAAACTAAGACTACTCTGTTTGGCAATATTCAAACCTTCTTGTTGAATATTGCGTGAATATAACGTGAAGAGGGTGATTAATCTTCTCCAAATTGAACTCGCATACATTTTTTATAGTAATAAAAAAAAACTAGAGGGTTGAGAAATTAAAAATATATAATTTCCCCTCCCCCATTTAACTAAAGGTACCTATCTAAATTTTATTATTATTGAAACTATAAAGTTAACACTCGTATTAGATATATATATATATTTTAATTTTGTTGCGTGTCGTTCAAAATTATATTATGAACAATAATATATTATTTTATGGATCTTTAACAAAACTAATGAAACGAGATAAAAGTTTTCAGTTTAAAATAACAGTTACGTTGTTTGTACAGATATTGTTTTTATAGTATAAAAAAAAAAAATCTAAAACACTTTCAAAAATTATTTCATAAAAATAAGTTCATCCGAATGGTATACCATCAATTAACTAAAGTTAAATCATCGTCATCAGATTACAAAATCAGATATATTTTTTTTTTTTTGTTCACGTCACAACAAAATTTATTTTTATTTTCGATTTGAAAGATTTACAATCGGTTGACCTAGCGGTTCCCGTAGTTTGCGCCACAGTGTATACGAGTATATGGCAACACGCCACCGACCTTAATCGGATACCTATTCATAAACATTTTTTCTAATTTTATTTATTTTTTAAAACAAGAAAAAAGTTATTAGTTTTATCAAATTCACCAGGAAATAATTTCAGTTTCGATAAAATGCAGTGATTTAAAAAAAAATGTGGGTACCGCGTTGTTAATCTATAAAGCGATTCGATGATTTTTGTTTTTAAAATACGTTGTCCTTTGTTCCCTTTTGTTTTTAATATAAATTTCATGAAAGTATAAAATTAAATCCAAGAATGTGGGTAAAATATATTAATATCCCGATGACAAATAATAGTACAAAGGCAACCGATTTATTATCACGTCATTAACACTCATCGATTAACATTATACACTCATCGATGAATGCTGGCCTTTAGGTACTTTGGCACTGGTGCGGTTTATCCTCTACATCGACTGTCGAATACTAAAGCCCATAAGCGCACGTCCAATCTAAAACTTGAAGAGTGCGAACCCCTATAACTTCATAAAATAAAATATTATAATTCATTTAAATTGAAAATTGAAAATCACGCAATGTCGGAGAAAATTATTTTATTCGTTTTATCCCATTATTCGTAACGTAATTTGGTTTGTACCAAAGTTATGAAATACTTAATACTATTATTAATTATTATTAATACTATTATAGTACATGCACATAAACACGAACCATACCATGAGGGGAGAGCTATAGCCCCCTTGGAATCCTCCCTTGGCTACGCCACTGCATTAACGTGGATGATATTATATTTGGAGAGTAAAAACTAACAGAACATGCTATTGGTCAGATTGTATTAGATATTTTAAGATTTTGAACTCAATTTTAAATTTTATGTAGGCGTAGAAACTGATAGATGCAGTGTAATGACTTCAAATATATTAGTGTCATAACTACTATTTTAAAAGAATGTCCAATGTAAGAAGTTCATGTTTCAATTATGTGTTAAATATTTCTCTTTCTTATTTAACTAAAGTAGCTTCTGTCAAAAATATTGTCAACATATTGACAGATGTTATTGCGTTTTTTAATGGTTCTGCAAAACGGCAATTTGTTTTAAAGAATATTTTTAATTACAAATTAAAATGATTATGCCAAACATGGTAATTAAGATCATGATGATGTGCTTCAATATTTGTGGTATAATAATAATATAATAATTAAAAGTGATGATTTAAATTATTTAAATCATCACTTTTAATAGTAGAAATTTTTATTCGATAAATATAAAATTAACATTTTGTATATTTTAGTTGGTTATTTTTTCAAAAGCCCCCCCCCCCCCAAACAAGACACTTGATCCGCCCCTGGGTCGGGGTACAGAAAATCTGTTGCTCCCCGTGTTTGAACATTTTTAATAAATATTTTTATAGTTACAAAGAACGGTTTGAGATTAAAAACTAACAACATATAATAGTTAATATTTACTTACTTGAAACATTAAATCAAACAAAATATACATACAAATAAATTAAGATTGAGTAGATGAAATTTTTAAATTTGTCCATTTATTTATAGGACTGTCATTAAAGATCTTGTTTAGGATATCACTATTTCCAAATCACTAGATAAACTTTCGGCCGAAGTACTAAAAAACGGTTAACATAAATACATATGCTAAGTAATATCTGCATATGGGTAAAAATCATTTTATACATTATTTTTGAGCAGTTTTAAAATGAGTTTTCTGTTTATAGGGTTTTCTAATCCGTATTATTTATGAAATCGATGGCTAAGCGTCAAAAACGTATCGCTGTTCGAAACGTGGTGCCCGGGGCAGTTGCCCTTTCTCGTCCATCCCCTTGAACACGCGATGCAACACCGAAGCGATCGCACCGAAAACTCACCGAAAACGTTGTTCCTACAACACGACGTCCAACGTCCGTTCAAAGATTTATTCAACACGTCTTGCGCCACTGCGAATGCGACGACGTCGTCGATCGATCACGGTATCGTAGCATCACGATGCGCGTAGGTGGATTCGGAAGAGCAGATGTCGTACTCGTAGGCCCAATAACAACAATATCACACCTGATAACATCGGCAACAACAATTAGAATATTAATTAATACTAACGGCTAATCACGAACTTAGGACACACGATTCCGTCAACGTCGAGTTGTGTACGCACACACAACATGGAATACCAAACGACGAACAAGACGCACGTTCGAACCGACATCGGGTGCGGACGACGACGCGTACGGGGCACGTCGCGATCACGTCCGTGATAACGCGTGACCGTTTATCACAAACATACGTTTTCCCGTCGAAGCGCAGCGCGGTAATAACCGTTGATGTTCCGGTCACGGATATCTTCATCCGTGCCGCAGATCTATACGATAGTACATCTGTACACGTATTAATATAAATATCTGTACTTCCGTGTGTATATATATCTCGTACATATTATCTGGGATCTGTGCGATAGGCCGTGTCTATCATTAACTATGCGTGTCCGAAGAGGCGGAGAGAAAAATAATGAGCGAGTGAGAGAACATGTGGTTAGGTACGTGACCATTTGACAGCGGTAACAGTGGTAACAGTGGTCATTGGCGTATATATGGCTATCGTTAAAAGAAACCATTTAAATTTGTGTACGACTGTGTCATCGTTAAAATTAATGTGTGACATAATAAATATATATATTTGTTTAATGTATTGGATTATATTAACTTAAAAAATAATCGTTAACATACCTCGTTGTTAAGACACGATTTATAAGACTGCGGATGAATCAAAAACGAGAAGGAGCGGTTCGGCTTGTGTCTTGTTAAAACGAATTATTTATCTGATAAGTGATAATCAAGAGTTGTAGAAGTAAAAAAGTAATATTGGTAAGTATTTTATTATTTTCAAAATATTAGAAAAAACGTAGACCATTTATTTATGATAGTAAAAAACATTTAGTACAAACATTTCAAACGGTTATTGAATTGCTTAAAATCTATAATAGTTCTTGACGTAAATGCCAACGACCATACCACGTTGAATACACCAGTTCTCGTCCGATCACTGAAGTTAAGCAACGTCGGGCGCAGTTAGTACTTGGATGGGTGACCGCTTGGGAACACTGCGTGTCGTTGGCGTTTTTTTTCCTCATATTAATTTACATTTATTCTTTAAAAAATATATTACTATATTCAATAACCATTTGCAAACATTCTAAATAATAATTTTTACATAATTTTGCTAGATTCTTACATCGATTTTTTTTTTTTAATATTAGAGATAATTGGTCAATAATTGATCTTGTATAAAACATAAAAACCATAGTGCCTACATAATTGACTAATTTTATCTGATAACTACGATACCAAATATGTTGTGCAGTACATAAATTAATTATAAATATAAACAGGAATTAAATCTTCGATAAACAATTTCAATAAGAGTTGAGTAACCTACTTTTTATAATACAATTTTAAACCTAAACTGCGTTAAACTGCATGCTAATTGTTTTGTAAATTTCATAATTAATTATCATTTGTTTGGTAATTATTAATAATATCAAAGAAAACAAAATAACAATTTTAAAATCAGCCTACTACTGTCAAGCAGAATAAATAAAAAATATTATAAATATTTTAAATTCTGAGCGAAACGATTAAAGTATTAGTTTTATGTTTATTTTTCTCCCGCTCTACTCGATTTTGATCAGAATCATTACAACCCTGTTCATTCAAAGGGATGGTACATATTTATCATAGAAAATGTTGTCTAGTTAATGCATTCTGTAGGTATTTATTTTAATTTTTCAACTATTTTCCAATTAATAGAGAAATAATAAAGATAAATTATTAACATTTTTTCTTATCATCACTCAGAACTGAACTGTAAAAACTGAAATAGTGACGGTATGGTTTTCCAAAGATAGATGTATATTTTTTTTTATAGTATATTTATACATATTTGAAATTTGAACATATTTCTCAACTTCTTCTCGTTAATCGTCGATAGAATGCACGGTACACAAAACACATTTTACACTTTATATTATTATTGAAAATTTAATGTTTTCAAACAAGTCTATATTTTCGGGATCAAACTTATGTTGATTATTTATTGGTCCTTATTTGAGTTAAAATATTCCTTACAGTATTTTTGGACACTGTAAGTGTTTAATAGTGTCATGTTTAATAAATTATAATGTATATAAATAATTAAATAAACATAACTTTAATTTTTTGTTTAATATGGTGGTGTACTAATCCCAATGAATATGTTTTCCTTAAACCTCATATAATTTTTTCAGATAGGTTTAATTATTTATGATTTGTACTGTGTGTTAACTGTTACATTATCGCAATAAATGTTTGCACAAAAACCATGGAAAAAGTTATTTTATTTTTGTCTATTACGAAACTTAATTAATTTCACATCAAATATTTTGGAATGAATTACATTTAATTTGAGCAACATTGGTTAAAATACGGGCCCCTCACTCTTTGGATTTAAATTGTTTAGCCCTATTAAAAAAATTCGGGAGGGGAGGAGGGGTTGCTCTGCTCGGACACGTGCGCACGCCAATAATTTGTACTCGGTCCGTCCCCGGCTAACCGTTTCATGCATCGTTCGAAAAAGCAGCTAAAATTATTGTCATCATCATTATTGTAACTATTATTATTATCATGTCTTGTTTTTCGTGTGGCAGCGCGTACGGCTGAAGTGTCGTCGATCATTAATTCCGGCTCGTCACGGTTCGTTCGGCGGGTCATCCGTCATTACGTTTCTGTTGCCCGACACGATAGAACGATCACTAAGCGTGAAATATTTCACAACTTCAAAGTACTCGGAATTAATGTACGTCGCGTATAAATATATGGCGCGGGCGCAGCGCGCGGCCGTGTTCGTACGGCAACTCAGTTGCAGCAGCTACCGGGCTAGGAGACGCGCGCGGTCGAGTCGGACAGAAATGATTTAATTCTTTTTTATTATTATTATTATTATTACCGTCAACACCGGTGAAATGGAACTTGAATGGTGACTTGGAACACTACAACTTTTCTTTATTGAATTTGATAGAACTTCAAGAGTTTTGATTATACATCGTTTATCTTTTCAAGATATTTTATGTTGTTACACATGACCAATCAGAAACATTTTATCGTATTTTTTGATATTTCTTATCATTAAACAGAAATTAATGTTACAAACTGTTATCATAAAAACACTTTTTTTTGTAGACCAAATTTAAGTCACCAAACTCATACTGTTCGAGATACAAAAGATAATGTGTTTAATTTATTTTTTATATAATATTTAGGTTACCTATTGACTTCTTTAGGCTATCATATGTACAAAGATGTTTTTAAAAATCCTATTTGTGTTCCAAGTAAAACGTATGGTAGGTGAAATGTTTAAAAACATTAAAAATTCCTTACTGTTTCATGTCACCCAAAATTCAAGGTGACTTAAATCATTCATTTTTTATTTATTTTTTTACTAAGTAATAGTTAAAATTCATTTTTCTTTTTCACGCAAATGTAGTCATTTATACTGCGCGCTTATACTAGATTTTTTTCAGATTTAAAAAAATTAATATTGAAGGTGTAGGAGCCTGAGAAAGTTCAAAATCGTGTTCATTTCACCCTTGTTGACGGTATGATTTTTTCTTTATCGATGCCTTTACGTTATTATTAACAATATTGGAATGCGAGCACGAAAAATTTGTATTCGTAAACGACTTAATTTTGTACGATAATCTACACTGCATGCGAGTGCTACTGCAGCGGTAAACCGAACGAGGAAATATTATTTTTAATTTTTTTCCCTTCTCTCACCCCCACCACGAAAACGGAGGGTTGATGTTGACACAATTAGACGTTGACACGATTTATATGGATAACACGATAATATTATTATAATATATCGTCGCCGAACAGGACGAGCTACTGTTGCGCGGCCGCCAACACACACGCGCGCGGGCGCGCGCACAAACACACACAAGAGCGAGAGCGCTCACGCACAACCTTGTGTTACGGCGTCGGAATGTAGTGGCGCGCGGTACAGTCGGCAGTGGCAACGGAGAGGAAGTGGTGGCGGCGGCGGCGGCGGAGTGCTTTTGATGCTGTCAAGCCAGTTGGCAGATGCTGAAAAGATGGTTTGACAGGTGATTTATCATAATGTTTTGAAGTCAGCGTGACGTGGCCCCGAGGCTATCTGTACTCATTTGTCACTGTCGCCACTACAGTGTGTGCCGCCGCTGTCTACTACTACTACTGCCACGTCACTACTACCACGACTGCCACGAGCGTGTGTGTGCGTAGAACCCGAAACCCAGGACGACGGACACGTTGCCGCGCGCCAAACGTTAACTCATTTTTAATGACGTGTCGGACAGGTTGTTTTTATAACCGGACCGCCTCGGAGAGATGGCGGCGGCAGTGGTGCACGATATATATACGTACGAGCATGCCTGTGCGTGTGTATATGCCCGTAATATGTGTGTGTGTGTCTGTACATTAGCTACTTCACACTTTCTTTTTCCGAACGCGTACCTGGTACCTGGTATACGTGCGGAGTGTTCTCGTGTCCTGCACGTTTTCACGTTGAACGCCCAACTACGTTGCGTCGGGTCGTATTATTGATTACCGTGATTGGTCACAGCCAACCACCGTATCAGTGTAGTGTTGTTCCGATGGTTACCAAGACTCTTCTTTCGTTCACCGACGCATCATCACATTTTTTTGTCTTTGTATCTCGTATCAAATCGTTTTGTATCTCGGTCTGAAGCGAACGATGACATTTGGACTTGGCATTTTGATCGTAGGGACGTTTAGGCTTCAAAAAAAGATTATAAAAAAAAGTGTTTCTTATACTACGTTTTTACAATACTGCGGTAAGGATCAAACCGCTTCGTTCAAACGGTAACGTCCAAAAATCCTGCATAGGTTACGTATGACGTTTTTCCTTCAATGCCGTCAACACGAATATTGAACAATTTAGTTCGAATGTGCATGTAGACTTTACATTAGGATCAAGATTTAATTACGAGGCGTTTACAACCGAACTCAGAATCTAAAATACAAAAATTTTCTGTAGTACCTATTCTTATATTCTGGGATTTATTTTATGATGATAATGTATTGTTAAAAAAAAAAATTACACACTTTTTTTTTTTAACTAGAAATGTTATAATAGAAACTCGAAAGAGTTTCAATTGTTTTGCTGATTTTTTTTTTAAATATGATTTTAAGAAGTTAAACAGTAGAAACATTAACAAAATATTTCTTAAAGTATCTATTAAATTTAATAATTAGATAATGTTGCCTTATAACAGTTTTGAAATTAATTTATTGAAGAGATGGTATAGTGTATGTTTCTATTATTGTAAGAGATATTTTGTTTAAATTAC